AACGCGGGTGCGAATGCGGGTCAGGGCTCGAATAAGGAGTTGCATATGTTCGTATGGAGTTCGAGTGCTTCGCCGGGGTCGGAGGCCAATTTGAGGAACGCGGTGAACAGAGCTGCTTCTGCTGATTTTGGAGCTTTGGAGGCTAACAAAGTTACTTTCCAAGGTAAAAAATAAAAATTTTGTAATCATTTTATTTTCCCCCTCAATTAATAACGCGGGTGCGAATGCGGGTCAGGGCTCGAATAAGGAGTTGCATATGTTCGTATGGAGTTCGAGTGCTTCGCCGGGGTCGGAGGCCAATTTGAGGAACGCGGTGAACAGAGCTGCTTCTGCTGATTTTGGAGCTTTGGAGGCTAACAAAGTTACTTTCCAAGGTAAAAAATAAAAATTTTGTAATCATTTTATTTTCCCCCTCAATTAATTATTAATTATTTTTCCCGATTTAAAGTTAAGGGTGACTACTTGATCGGTTAATGTCAAACGTGAACAATAGCACACCCTCATTTCAGAAGGAAAATGGAGTCCAATTAATTAATTAAGTCGACTTGTCAGCATGCAGTTTCTTTTTAGAAAATTAAGAAAGAAATTCATTATATATATCTCATGTGCCCGTCACGTGCTTGGCCCAAGAGAAATCCTACAGAAAAGGGGAAACGGAAAAGATAATTTTTGGTCCTCTTTAATTAATTAAAAGGAATTTTCTTTTAATTAATTAAGAAATTAAATTTCTTTTAATAACAAGCAAGTCTTCGCGTACGTAAAAGAAGTATAAAAAAGAAAAAGGCCATTTTCCCTCTTTAACTTGTTTTTTTTTTGTTAATAATTTCTTTTACGTTAATTAGAAATTGCATCGCTTGATGATATGTTGTAGGCCTAAACGCTTCGAGTGAGAACGCCAGCCCAGCGAGGAAAGCGGGAGAGCTAGAGATAGAGGACGGGTTCAAAAGCCCGATCGGCAAGAGCCCGCTCCCCGTCGGTTCCCCGTTCATGGCCCAAAAGAAGCCGCAGCGAGGAGCAGCTGCTGCGGCGCCGGCGAACGGCTATTCCGGCGGACCCACACCAGCAAATGCCTCCGGCGAGCGGTGATGAACGAGGCTCATGCCTCGCATCATGGTTTGGAGAAAGCTCATCAAGGAACCGCTAAGCCACGTACTCTAGCCTAATTGGCCTCATCTGGTCCCGTGGTAAATCGCTTCAGCGTAACCTTTTTTTTCTTTTTTTTGTACCGCTATATATTCGCTTGATTATTATGGATAGGATAGACCACCTGCAGTACCAGCAAAATTGAACTTTACTACCCTGCAGTTTTATTATCGCAAATTAAATAAACTTCGTGCTAAAAGAGTTCTGTTATTGCAGATAGACCCCTGAGCGAAAATTCACCGTTGCGCTCGCAAGGGGTCTATCTGCAACAATAGCGCCATACGGGCCATAGGTAGTAGGTTCAATTTGGCGATAGTACATACAAGGAGTCCATCCGCAATTAATTATGAGCCCTCGTCGCAATTGACCGTGAACATGGGATTTGGATCCTCTCCACTACAAAAAAAATAGTGGAGAGATCACTATTTTTAATCTCAATCGTTGATTATTTAGTAGACGGTTATGATACAATCTAAATCCAACACTTACCATACCTTCCGTGTATTGCATTCATTCCTAATTTGCACTGAAAGAAAAAATCACAATCATCAACTAGATAATCAATTGTTGTGTTTATGTAGTGGTCCCTCCACTATTTTTTTGTAGTGGAGAGGATCTGAATCCATGAAGATGTACGCACGTATATATTGGATTTATGACAAATTAACTTTAGCTTAAATTTAAGTGGTGATATTTCTTGATTGCAGTGGCGGTCACAAGCATGATGCATGAATGTAGTTTAGATGTGGATCAGATCGATGGAGTTTTGTCTCCTCGATCAATATGTTCATCAATTGTGGATTCAATTAATTGCTGCCTTATCTGATCATCAACAAGTGATGAGGGGGGGTGGGGCCCTGAGAATTAATTAGGCACCCATTTTTAATCACTGTTTAAATGTTCCTTGGATCTAATTGCGCGCTTACAATTTATGTGCATGTTATTACTGTCCCCCTCCTCCGGCCCAGCGGTTTGACTCGAAATAATCTGGCGCCAGCTTGCTGGTCAAATTCCATGGGAGCGTGATTAATTGTAACAGAATTTAGTCTTCCAACCCATATTATAGGTCCAGTACAAGCCCCTGTTAATTAATTGGATAACTACTTTATTCAGATTACTTAAGCAAGCTAATTAATGAGTTGCGGACGAATAATGTCATCAATTATATTAACATGAATTTTTTTTTTGTTAATAGTGATGTTACATCCAGATCTTATTTAATTTCAGGTGGAACATTGAGATGCCTACAATCATTAAAGGATCCATATCCATACTGTCTGATGCGGGTCTAGGGATGGCTATGTTCAGTTTAGGTATTTAATTTGCTACGTTAATTATCAAGCTATATTATTAATATCGCATTAATTAACTTCCATGTGTACGTTGTTCACAATTAATTGGTTTAGGGCTGTTCATGGCTCTTCAACCAAGGATCATCGCCTGTGGCAAAGCCATCGCAACTTTCTCCATGGCCGTTAGGTTCTTGACCGGGCCAGCAGTCATCGCAGCCACCTCCATCGCCATTGGTCTCCGTGGCGTACTTCTACATGTCGCCATTGTGCAGGTGCACATAAATTATAAACTTTCATAAAAAAATATTTTTTTTAAAAAAAAAATCAAATAAATTTGATCTTTAATCAAGTTTGTTAATCTCGCAGGCAGCGCTTCCACAAGGAATTGTTCCTTTTGTTTTTGCCAAGGAGTATAATTGCCATCCGGACATTCTCAGCACTGCGTAAGTGTACAATTAATTGATTATGATTGTATTTTTGAAGATTAAAATTAATTATAATTGGCATTCTGTTGATCGATATTTTTGTTAATTTCGTTGAATTATTTGCAGAGTTATATTCGGAATGCTCATTGCATTGCCGATAACCATCCTTTACTATGTCCTTCTTGGAGTCTAAGTAACGGGCGGAACGAAGAGAGATCGAAGCGCATCACACTAAACTGAAGAAGTGAAGAAGAGAGAAAAGCATAAAGAAAATACAAAAAAAAAAAAAAAAAAAAAAAAAAAAAAAAAAAAAAAAAAAAAAAAAAAAAAAAAAAAAGCAAAAGAATGAGTAGAGCGTAGGCTTAGATTAACAAATGGCATTAGATTCAGTGTACGTACAAGGTAGGGCATTAGTTTTTCTTTCTTCATAACGTGCTCAATCATGTGATTGCATGAGCTATGAAATTCAAAGTTTTTTGTCTAGTTTTTAATTTATTTATTTATCGTGATGTGGGTTTGTCCCCCTAAGTAAGACTTTCATCCTAACACTCACTTTCATGTCACGCTCTTTTATTTTGATCTCTCCTTGGTGAAATGTGTGTGTGTGATATGATCTCTCCAGTGAATTTATGGCAAGAATCCTAAGAGATTATGCGGTGTGTGGAAAATTCATCCTTCTTTAGTTTTTGTGCCCATTGAAATATAATAGTACGGTAAGATTGATAAATGTTGACTCATAACTTTGCAAGCGTGGTATTTAATTTATTGCTCATATTTTCACCGAATATGCCAAGCAATGTAAACGACAAGAGTTGCCTTAAAGAGCCCACTGGGTGTTAATCAGTCAGATCCCTGTGAATATGAATTTAATGTGAATATATAGTAGGTGTATAATATAGTACGGCTGGCTCGTCTGATCTTATGACCCAGGACAAAGAACTTGTATTCTAAAAAAATAGTGGAGAGATCATTATTTTTAGTCTCAACCGTTGATTATTTAATAGGCGGTTATGATATAATCTCTAATACTTATCATAGCCCCGTGTATTGCACTCAAAGAAAAAATCACAACCATCAACTGGATAATTAATGGTTGTTATTATGTAGTGGTTCATCCACTGCTTTTTAAATAGTGAAGAGGATCCGAATCCGAGAACAAAGTCTATTTTCATATGGAAAATAGGTAATTTGGATTAAAATATTTAATAAGGAACAAATTAATTGGAAGAAGAACCTTAAACTATGTTTATTTTTGGACACGGCTATTTTGCTTCTTTTTTTTTCATATTTGGCCCCTTAACTTTTTAAATACCAGCTGGGTAAAGTCTCCAACTCTTTTAACCATAGATCAATCAAGACCCCATGTGATTGTTGCAAACTTTGATTGGCCACCAACCAAAGAAAAGGACGTACTAATCCCGTGTGGCGACTAGTTTGATAATGGCTCTCCCTTCACATTCACATGTGGGTGTTAGTTTTAAATTGAAGGAGACAGAAATTCTGAGGCGTGAATCACTTTCCTTAAAGAAATATTTGCCCTACTTGATATTCAAAGTTGCTTCGGGTTAATGCAAATTTTCTTCCCAGGATACAACAGAAATTAAAAATTCCAGTAAGCAAATCTGGAATTTTCCTTAATTCGTTGTGAAACAAGTTTGTAATATTGCAGAAGTTTTTGATAGAAAAGATTCAGAAAAGAATTATAAATAGATATCTGAAAACACAAACTATTTATAGGTTTTGAAAAGATGTTTCCAACAATCATAACTTTTCAAAAACACCCCTTGGAACAAACAGCCACTTTTCAACAGTCACTTGTCTTTTCATAATTTTTTAAAATTCAAAATAACATTTTAAAAATATATATATTCAATATATATAAAAAATAGAACATTTAACTGCGTCTAATAATCGCGCATTATTCACGTTACTCGCACGCGGGTTTAGAAGCCTACACTTTGATCCATTATTGAAAGGCCAATAAGCATTCAATGCTTTTAAACCTCTAAAAGAATGTTCAAAAATCCAATGTGGGACTATCTTGTTTTTTTACAAACAAATACTAACAGTGGGCCTCTTCAGATCGAAGACCCTGAATGCGAAGAGATCGAGCTTATAAGGAGGTTACTTTCGATCCACTGTTGTTGGTTTGGACCGTGTAACTTCAGCAGAAACTGGCATCAGATCTGCATCCTCCTTCTACGGTGTTTTTTTTATGGAGTCCTTTGTCTGTTGATGGGAGTGCATGTGAGTTGGAGTAAGAGTGGATGAGACTGATTAAAAGAAGGGGAAAAATGTTATTACAAGCCTACTATTGAGCAATCAAAGGTTCTCACTGTAATCGAGACACATTGGAAGCACATGATTTTACTCTTATTTTAAGATTACATATGTTTTTTTTTTGGCATTGTTATCCTAATTAAGGACTGCACTGATGCTCGGTGAAAGTCCGGGTGTTATAATTTTATATTTTTATATGTTCTCACACTGTCGGTTTTTTAAAAATTTTGTTTTAAATTTACGACGGGTGAGACTCCAACATGGATTGTTCTAACATCATCATAAAGATCCCCTATCATGTTGGGTGTTGGAGAATCAACAACCCGTGCCCTTCGGATCTTGTGTCGAAAGAATAGCAAACAAGAAATCACAGCAAAACAAAAAAACTTGCAGAAAATAATAAATAAAGAAAAGAGAACACCTGATTTAACGAGGTTCGGAAAACGTGCCTACGTCCTCGAGAGCCACATCAGAAATTCTTTGATTATTGACGAAGATTACAATACCTGCAAACAACTATCTCTTTCTCTAAGATCTCTGATCTCAAAGTGTTGGATTTTCTCTGAAAATCGCTGCTAAAATTGATCTTAAAAATCAAAAACAGCAACAGGAAAAATGTAGCTGTCACATCCCTATTTATAGGAAACACTAAAAACGAAACAGAATAGGAATATATTTTCTGCGAAGTTCGCTTGAACTGCGAAGTTCGTCTGCTTCGCCTAAACTTAAGTTGGCCTGAATTGAAGTTCGCCTACTTCGTCTGAACTGAAGTTTGCCTGCTTCGCCTGAACTGAAGTTCATCTGCTTCGCCTGATTTCCAAACTTAGAAAAATTCCTGTTGTGCATGCTTGTTCCAAAGTTTGGGTCTACACCCCTAAAACCAACAATCTCTCACTTGGAGACCAAACCTCCATCAACAATCTCTTGAATTCTAGTCATCTTAGCAAGCACGTTCTCCTACCTGAAGAATTTTTTTCTTTAATCAATATCATTCTTGGTGATCCCACATGTCCTCCTAGTATGACTCTGCCCTCATCTCCTATGTGTGACGGCCAACTGAAGTTGTGCACAACTCCATTTTCTCGATGGTCACTGTCTTTGTCAACATATTTGCAAGATTTTGGCTCCCCAAAATTTTTTCTAATATGAACTTCTCGTCCTCTATCGGCGAGCGTATGAAATGATAATGTACGATGATATGTTTCATTCTGACATGATATACTGGGTTCTTGATAAGTTGTATAACACTCTGGCTATCACAATAAAGAACTTCGTTCCCCCGCTTCAGACCCAACTCTTCCAGACACCCGATCAACCAAATCATCTCCTTGCTAGCTTCAGTCACCGTAACGTACTCTGCCCCAGTCGTGGACAACGTCACTATCTTTTGCAAACGTGAGACCCAGCTCACTGCTGTTGACCCTAAGGTATAAACATACCCTGTGGTACTTTGCCTCGTATCATGATCACTGACAAAGTCAGCATCCACGTATCCCCAATTCTTTTCTCCCAAAACACAGTGACATATCCATAGTCCCTCTTAAGTATCGCAATATCCACTTCACAGCCTCCTAATGTTGTTTTTCTGGATTGCTTGCAAAACTGCTTACAACTCCCACTATATGGGCGATATATGGTCTCGTGCAAACCATCACATACATAAAACTACCAATGACTAATGAGTATGGCACTCTGATCATGAACTCCTTCTCTACATCTGTCTTGAGTGACTGCTCCTCAGATAACCTGAACTGACTTCCAAGGAGCGTGCCAACGGCCTTTGCATTCTACAGGTTGAATCTCTGAAGTAACTCCTCAGATATTGTGGGTGACTGATTTTACGAGCGACAACCGGATCTGCCCTAGAACCTTTCTATCGAGTATTTCTCAGTCCTCGTCTGATTCCTCATTCTTATTTCCATTGTCTTTGCCCATCAACGAATGATAAAAATCCTTCTAGTACAGATAGTTCGCTATCTGCGACTTCCAGTAGCCGAAGTCTAATCCGTCAAACTTCTCAATCTTTGATTTGCTTTCCTATGCCATCTCTCGCACAAATTTTCCAAACGAAGCTCTGATACCAGTTGTTGGGTGTTGGAAAATCAACAACTCGTGTCCTCCGGATCTTGTGTCGAAAGAATAGCAAGCAAGAAATCACAACAAAACAAAAAAGTTGCTGGAAAGAATAAATAAAGAAGAGAGAATACCAGATTTAACGAGGTTCGACAAACGTGCCTACGTCCTCGGGAGCCACACCAGAAATTCTTTTATTATTGATGAAGATTACAATGCCTGCAAACGCCTATCTCTTTCTCTAAGATCTCTGATCTCAAAGTGCTAGATTTTCTATGAAAATCGCTGCTAAAATCTCTCTTAAAAATCAGAAACAACAACAAGAAAAATGCAGTCGTCACATCCCTATTTATAGGGAAACCCTAAAAACGAAACAGAATAGGAAATTGTTTTCTGCGAAGTTCGCCTGAACTGTGAAGTTCGTCTGAACTGCAAAGTTCGTATGCTTCGCCCGAACTGAAGTTTGCCTGAACTGAAGTTCGCCTGCTTCGCCTGAACTGAAGTTCGCTTGCTTTGCCTAATTTCCAGACCTAGAAAAAATCCTGATGTACGTGCATGCTTGTTCCAAAGTTTGGGTCTATACCCCTAAAACCAACATATCACAATATCAAGAATCCGAAACTATAATGAGAATTGAGAGCTAAGAGTTTTATATTCCAACAGATCTAATTAAGGTTACTGATTATATGCGTGAACAATGGTTTGCATTCTTCTCTTTTTTCTAATAGAAGTTTTACTTTGATTTTGAACTTCGGACTCTTCGTTCTCCATTTTGAATACGGAGCCTCGTCTTAAGAACGCCATAAAATACTCATCCATGCATGCAATCAGCCTTGGAGTCACAATATGCAAAGAGTGAGAAGATGCCCCGCACACAAATTAACTATTTTCTCAACATATATCATGATTAATTAAAAAGGCTTCGATGATGAATTAAAAAGGCTTTCAGTATTGCTTTTTTTTTTCAGTCTTGGATTCGATATTGCGGCTTGGCTCTGCGTTGATTGTAAGGTAGCAAGTTGGATTATGAAAAAAATGCATGCCATTAATTTGTTACGAAAAAGTTGTGAATTTAAATACGTGAAGAGCCTAATAATTAAGCCGGTCCTGTGTAAAAAAAAAAAAAAAACAGGACCGATGGATGTAATTTCTCTTTCGGAAACACCACATGAGATTTTGATTCTTTAATTAAC